GTGCAGAGGACGTCCCCGTGGCGCAGGTGTGAGGGAAGCAGCCTGGCCTCCCCGGGCCACCCTTGGGCTCACCCCCACTCGAGGCCGGGAAGACAAGCAGCAGGGCCCAGGGGGTGGAAAAATCATTATTCTGATGCATTTCCTGGGGAGTTTGGCTGTCACAAGTGGATGGGAACAAGAGTTGTGTCTTCCTACCCTGAAAAATTAAGCTGGCACTGGAAAAAAAGACTAGAGGTGTCTGGAGAAAAGAGATATTAAGGTGTTACCAATACCAAGTGTTGAGGTTTAGGCTTTTGGTCCACCGACTTTGACACTTGGGCAGTGCTAAAACTGGCAATGTTACTCTAGTACATGTCATGGTGCATGAGCTGTATGTCCAGAGCCTGACACCCTCATATTCCCACTTCGTTTTGGTCTGGACACTTGTTCTGCTCAGCGCTTTGCATTGATAATTTTAGGGTGGTAGAGGAAATCAGGGTAAGAAAAGAACAAAGTGAATGTGAGCTATTATCGGTGCTTTCCTGGTTTTAGAGCTGTCAGTGATTAGGAGGCGCGGTTTTTGTTCTGGGTAGTGGCATTTAACAGCTATTTACGGATTTGTAGATTGTTTCAAGCCAGTACTTTGTCTTCAATAGGGAACCGGTCAGATTCTTTGGAAGATGCCATTGGGAAAGCTTTACAGGGAGCGGTCATTAAAACCCCGCCTGAACTTTTGAGAATAAAGAGTTTCCAACATAGAAACCCTGGATAAGTAGTTTCTGTTCTTGAAATTTTTATGTTGTATTATGTGATTTGTGAGTGTTATAATTTTATGTGAAAACCAAACTCTCTGTTCAGTTACACAATGTTTGGGCCAAAGAATGGGCCATGAATTCATGAGCTACATGTGTGCTATTAAAAACCCTCACTTCTATGAACTCTGAATTTGCTGCCATTTAATATAGTTGGATTGACAAAAACCTTTGTTTTTCCTAAGGCTTTGGTCACTGTGATACAGCCCTAGTGGGTGAGAAGGGTGAGAAGACCTAGCTGAACTTCTCTACACAGATTTTATACAGTGCCGCTTGTTGCTGCCTTTCCGTCTGTAGCCCTGATTACCATTTGGAAGTCTTAAGCATCTTGAAGCATCCAGTCTTACCAGGATCTAATATTTTTCTTGCCCTTCTCTGAGCTCTTTCTGTTTTCTGAGCCCTTTCTGTTTCTACCACAGGGAGAAGTTGATCTCAACTGAGGGCTATTGTGGGTGAAAATCCACAATTATTTATTTAATCACATTAGAATACTTTTGTATTTGTATTTTACTTTCTGTCATTTAATCCAATATAATCTTTTCTCACTTTTTGTTCATCATTCCAGTGTTGGTCAGATAGTCTTATTAAACTCTCTGCAGTGACAAACAGATAGTCCTTGAGTAATTAATTTAGAATACAGCAGTCTGTATAATCAGTTAATAATATTTAATGACTTTTGTGCCGTACTTGTCGTCATACGTGTTACTAATTATAAGATTCTTACAAATTCTCTGTTCCTGGTCTTAGGCTCATAAGAACAATTTAGGGAACAAAGCCATTATTTTTCTTTTTTAGACAGGGCTTTCGGGCATCATCCATGTTCATTATCTTTTCTCTTTTAGAATGGGAGGTAGAACTTGGTAAATACATCGTCAAGGATCTCACTAAGGCTGTGTATTGATGTAATAGCCTGTTTTCTTTTGCCATTTTAAACATCCATGAGATGTTTTTGCCCAGGAAGCCAGTTCCAGCTTGCTGGGTTTCTGTACGCGCTTGAGTATTCACTGTGCTTTGGAGTCGTCTTCTGATTTGCTCCATTTCCAAGTAGAGTTCCTCATCTTGTAAGTATGAAACAGCCCTTGTTTCATGTGTATGGAGCATGTGTTGCACTGGGCTGTATACAAGCATGTTTCTTCTGTTAACTCAGTGTCATATATGATGTAGATCTCTGGAGCAGGGTTGACCCACTCTTATTTATTTGCCCTTCACCAGTTTGTGTATTCCATGCAGATTCTATCAGCTACAGTCTTTTGTATAATCTTGTTGACTGGCAGAAACGCTGAGTAACATTGGACCTTCCTTAAGGCATCAGTATTGGAGATTCATGCAATAGGAAAAAATGTCTTGCACAGGGCATAGCACCTTAGTCCATGCCGACTCTCTTGGAAAACATACGTACGTCTGTGTGCTCGCTTTCAACCAGGCTAAACGTGATGTCATTTTCCCTCTTTCCTTGAATACCTTTATGTGTCCCACATGGTAAGACCCTGAAGCAGGTTATACATAATAATTTGTTGCACACCTGTCCTTGTCAAAAGTGTTAAATGATCCTCTGTAATGTTTCCAGGTGACCCTGGACACAAGAAGTATAAGCTAGGTAAGTTTAGTACTGCAAGATGTTACATGTGTGTGGAGCTGGCTCAGATTTTTCCTTAGTATCCTATTTTTGGCTGAAAAAATGGCTTTTAAGTACACCAGTTTTGTTTTTTTTTTTTATTGAGGAAATCTGTTAATGTTGAAATTTTCTTTCCTAAAAAAAAAATCTATGGGAATCAAAGTTTAATGTGACTTTATACCTCCTTCCCTTTTCTTTAACGGTATATATATATTTTTTTTTTCCAACTGCAGAAAAAGTTAAAGGGGCAGAAGCTTTTTATAGTATTCCAGGCTATAATGAGCTATGATTTTTAAAGCTAAGAAAACAGCTTTAACTATTGATGAGGTGGATTTAAAATATTTTTCCTAAGCCTCCCTAATAATTTATGAGGTGGTTTTAGATTCCAGGTTTTCTTCGTGTTGAATAACTTCTAAATCAGACTGTTGTGTGGCACTAAATCTTACAGAGATCTAAGTATAGTAGGTCAGAAACTACAAGGTATTTTTATCCAGTCCAACCTATATTCTTGTCAGAAAGCCATACCAAATTTATTTAGCGAGACCTATTTTCTGTAAGCCTATGTTTAGCATTACTTGTTACCACCATCCTTTATTTCTTTGTTGATTGCATAATCATGATTTTGTGCAAGACTGATATCAAGCTAACCTATTGATGTCACCCTGTTTTCTCATTTTAAATTATGCTAGTGTTATATTTTCTTTGCAGTCTTCTTTAGCCTTTCCATTTACTGAAAACTAGCATCAGTGTTTCAAGAGCTTGTCATCTCATTCTGTAAAAATTCTTAGACGCTAGCTGTCTAGTTCTGCAGGTATTAAAATATTCACTTTTGGCAGATAAACCTGAAATTTTTCAATCCAGTAAAAAAGTAGTAGGGTTTCTTTGGGTTTTGGTGTTTGTTTGTTTGTTTTTTTTTTTTTTAGATACTAAGCAATGTGGTTCTTAGCCTTGTAAAAAGCTTTCCTAACATGGACCCTTGTGTTTCTGCAGAGCTAGCACATTTTCATAGAATTACAACACAACGAGAGAAGGGAGAGTGAAAATACTTGTTGCGACTCTAGTGACTGTAAGAATAATTTAAAAATGCAACATTTTATCATCCAAACAGTAATCAATTTTGCTGTCTACTGCCTGTGTTACCAAGATTGATTAAATGTACTGTTAATACCATACTTTAAAAATCAGGCTCCTATCAGATGGTAATGTAACCACAAGTTGGGGCTACAGGATTGTTTTTATTTATTATTTTTCATTTTGTAACTGAAAGAAGCATGTAAAATTCTAGAATTTTTGACAGAAGCACTTTGCTTTGTTCCTTAGAAAGCCATTCCATTACTACTGCTTTTCTCATGAAGGGAGACAGGATCTCATCTTAGTCATATTAAAAAAAAAAAAAAAAAAGAGTGCTGCATGGTCCTTTTAAATCACTTTTTCCTAAGTAAGGGCTCTGCCTCTTGGTTAATCTAGATTATACAGGTGGCGTTCTGATATTGCCTTTTTTTAGATCTCTTCACAGAAATTATGTAACAGATTTCTACATTTCGTATCTGGATCCTACTGAATATTTATGAAGCTTGAAGATCAATTATTGTAGATTTTAAGGTGATCTGTCACTGAT